AAACAAAAAAAAAATACTGGTAATGTAAAATACAAAAGCCTAATTAAAGTATCATATATGTTCACTGTTAGTTAATATTTAGTAGATAGTTAGTTATCACTATTAATGATACTTCGTTGATACTGTTACAACTATATATAAACACGTAGTTGACAAGCACTTACTGTTAGATAATACGGTTAGTTAACACAGTAACTCTATAAATAAACACTTAGTTGATACTGTTAGTTAATTCAGTTAATTAACAACGTTAATTAAACGTTTAGTTGTATTAAAAAACGGTTCTCTCGATCTTCAAATTTAAAAGCATGTTAGTCCAGGTACTAATGCTTTTTACAATGTAACCATGAGTTACAACTACTGTTAGATCATAACCAGTCATTCTATTAGTAAAGTTGTTAGTTAACAATGCTATCTACCATTAACTAATATTATTAGTCGTACTGTTGGATATTACAGATAAACATTAGTATCATTATTAATATCATTATTATTATTAATATCATTATTATTATATTTATTCATTTTTTTCAATTGGTGTGTTCTAAGTAGACGTGTAGAAGTTTTCAGAGAGACCGCGCACACGTACTGAAACTGCCGTAATTTTTACCCCACATCCTTAATTTATAAAAATGTAATTCCATCACATTGTTTCATTATTTCGAGTTTTAAAAAAATCAAAGAGATAACTTGTACGGACCATGCTTTCCTTATCCCGTAACCCACATACAGTATTATCATGTTTATTTCACGTATTGTATAGCAATGAGTTATTCACAAAATATAATTATTGATTTTAGTTAAAGGGTGGCAGTGGTCGTGCCGAGTCCTGTTCGATATGAAACTCATAGCGACGTATACAACGCGTGTAAAATACATTGTATATTCACATGAAATTCGAACACGCGCTGCGCGACGACCATCCCTTGGGACTGAATTTCCGCGCGTGCGCAGGTGACGACCCTCTCGCTTTAACGCTGTTACTTTAACGTCTACCCTAATAGTGACTTCGTTAGTTAACACTATTGGTATTATCTCTGTTAATTAACAGTGTTAGTAATGAAACCCTGTAATCAAGCATGTGCATCAGCATCTCTATGAGTTAAAGCG